AATTATGCCGGGCTAACCAAGCCAGCCGGACTGCTATGCTATAGACATAACAATTGAAATGGCATTTGGACTGGGGAGACGACGGTTGTAACACCTTGAGAATAGGCCATGTATGCATAAAGCTTTTTCCAAAGCTGCCTGTAGCTATTACCTTTCGCGTGTAACTCCTAAGCATGAATGGGTTTCGGTGGGCCTACGGTATGGTGCTGAAGATATGTTGCTAATCCTTATCCATTAATTTTCATGTGTTAGGAAGCCGCAAGAATATTGAGGAACACTACGATGCGGGCAATTCTATGTACAAGGTATTCCTGGACGAAACGCTGACCTACAGCTCGGGCCTGTACCTAAAGCCCACCGACAGCCTTCACGAGGCGCAGCTCAACAAGATTGACGCGTTGATCGCCAAGGCACGCATCGGCCCGGATGACCACGTGCTTGAGATTGGATGTGGCTGGGGTGGCTTTGCTATCCGTGCCGTACAGACCACGGGCTGCCGTTGGACGGGCATCACAATCAGCAAGGAGCAGCTAGCGGAAGCGACAGAGCGCGTTGCCGCGGCGGGCCTGCAGGTGCGCATGACTTTGCAAGCATGTGAAGCGAAGTATGTTTCTACGATCGAAAGGGTTTCCTATTTTGGCGAGACATAGGTGTAGGCATATGTATGGGATCCTGATGCATCCTTTGCGTGTTCTATGCAGTGAAGTTCCCTCACCGAGCTAGCTTCTTCTGTTGTCATGTGCCGTACGCAGTATGCCGCATAGATGGTTGGTCTTCAACCAAAAGTTGAGAATCTAAAGCTAGAAAGCTAGTCTAGAAACAAAATGATGATTTAGTTATAGGTCGATTTCAGAATTTAGGCAGTTAACTGCTACCTAAAGTACGGCATCATACAAGTTGCGAGTATGAGAAGGCGCTCTAAAGGCCCCTGGCACTCGTTTTCATAGGCTTTTCTACCCCTCCAACCCTATAAATGGCGGATCCCTTAGCTCCTAGCGCAAGTAAGCAAATTGCTGAGGAAAAGTCGGTAAAGGAGGCCTAAGTGGATGACACGTATTGTGGCAAGAAAATTTCGGCAGTAGCGTACTATTAGAAGCTGAGGGACCTTAAGCAGAAGAAGCAAGCGCATTGGTGGGCAAAATTCACTGTCCTGCTGTTGGGCAACTTGGTCAAAAAAATCGACTGAGAGCGCTGCGGCAAGATGTTCAGCGGCACCCGTCATTGGTGGCACCCAAGGACTTTCAGGAGCAGAACACCGATAAAGGGAACCCTGCCAGCAAGGCTGCAGCGCCCTCCGAACCCCCGACCAAATCTATGAGACAGTGTCAGGGCCTTCATGACGTAGCCTGGCTCTCGGTGGCGAGCCTTGATAGAAGTTTGGTGAGGTGGTGACCCGTGGATCAGGGCACTGTGGACGGCTCGCGGTCCCTTTCTTCCTTGTGCAACGGATTGCTGTCCCCAAAACTGAAGAAATGATAAGTTCTCACGATAAGAAAGCTATCTGTAAATGTTCAGGTCAAACCATGCAGTTTTAGAAGGGTAGCTACCAGTTGAGACGAGAATCTAACCCCTTCTGATTAGATTTTATCAGATCTAAACTAGATATGGATGAGAAGGCTATTATTCCTAAAGTCTAAGCCAACCCTACCTATGCGGGATGCTACTTGCAGGACCGCATCACACTGTTGTTTTGTGACTACCGTGATACGCCTACGGCGCTGGGTGCGGGAACATTTGACGTCGTCGTGAGCGTTGAAATGATTGAGGCAGTGGGCCAGGAGCACCTTGAGCCCTACTTCAAAGTGATCGGGACCATGCTGAAGCCCGGCGGTCGGGCGGTGCTGCAAGCCATATGCTGTGCTGACGAGAGGTTTGTTCAAAGCTGGAAAATGTGTGCTGGACTCGGCCATCGGATGAAGCACCAACTAACCCCCACTCTGTTGGCTGCATTTCAGGTACGAGTCGTATTGCAACACCTCCGATTTCATCCGCGAGCATGTCTTCCCTGGTGGACACCTTCCAAGCTTGGGTGCTATTGCCGATTGTTGCCGTGGAACGGGCTTGACGGTGCGTGACACCCATGACATCGGGCCCGATTACGCGATTACGCTGCGGTCCTGGCGTGATGCATGGGAGAAGCGGCGCGATGAGGTACTGGCGCTCGGCTACAGTGATCGCTTCTGGCGCAAGTACAGGTGTGGCATGCAACAAACTGTCTTGCTAATGCGTCGTGTACTGCTCAGTGGCGAAAGGACACTCGATGGTGTCAGTTTGCGCATGAGCCACTCCCAAAAGTATATTGCATGATTCGCTTGCTTCACAATCAACGTGCCAGGTTCTACTTCGTCTTTTGCGAAGCGGCCTTTGATGCGCGCTACATCCACAACTACCATCTGTTGTTCAGTAAGGGCGCAGAACCTACGCCGATGGCTGTGAGCAGCCCGTTGCCAACCTTCGCGCCTACACGAGCCAGCGTGTTGTTGCACGAGCTTCCCTCGGATCCCATTACGCAGGTAAGGCGTAATCACGTGCTACAGGAGGCCTTTTATGAGGAAAGAGTTTGAGTGAAGAAGTCACGTATGTTGGAAGCACTCAAATCGTAAATGAAACGGTTTCTCGGTGCTTAATAGCTTTTCGTACTGCCCACTGGTCACAACCTAACCTTCCACTTGTTGGCATTGTTGGCTAGGCTCTAATGGCACTCTACTTCTTTCTGGCCGGATTACTCGTCAGTCGGCACGCGTATATGTGGCTGCTGCCAGCCGCATCGTGCCTCATGGCGCTGGTCACGGCGATGGCGCACATTGCATCCCAGGCGTTGGTGCCTTCTTACAGGTAAGAGCCAGCTAAATGTCCAATGGGCTGTAGCGGACATCTACTAACCATACCCAGCTTGGACTGTACTGTAGGGCTCAGACGCCTGAACAGCGCGCATTGTGGTGCAGCGATATCGCACATATGCTGTATTCTGCGCTGGCGTCAACGGCCGCGGTACTGTACGTACTGCATGAGCCGCGCGCCCTGCAGCTGTCAGACCTGCCAACGGACATTGCTGTCCCTTCACTGATCACGGCCTTGTCGACAGGTCAGTGGATGTAGCATTCCCGCAGTTTATGCGTTGCTCAAGTTACCCTAAGCTACCGGAGTGCTAGGCATATTAAGAATCTTTCAGTTGATAGGGTGCGATTGCCTAGACTTATCGAACCTAATGTCATCTGCTTTGACTTGCATGCCACGGCATGCCTTTTGATTCCCGAATCCCTTTCCCCTTCGCCTTCATAGGTGTCTTCGCATTTAACCTGTGGATGTGCGTGCGTGCTCGCCTCTTCGAGCGCACCGTACTACCCATTCTGCAGTATACTGTCTTGCTGGTGCTGTTTGGCACGGCGACGTACAAGGGTGTCGGGGTGCCGTTCCTCGCTGCGACCCTGGCGTCCGAGGTGTACAGTGTCGCTTTCTTGTTGGGCAAGCTTCAGGAAATGGCAGGTTAGCACATGTTGCGGTTTTTAAAAGGGGGTTAAACTGGCGTGACATGCCTATGATGCGCAGACGAAGTAACATGTTTCGCGAATGCATGCAGGCCTAGGGAGCACGTCTCTACGCCACTACACGCGGTTCACAGAACAAGTGACACTTATCTGTTGCCGGCTGGTGCCGCACGCCGCTCTCGCCATCATCGTAGTCATGAACCCCGCGGCGTTTGGCTCGCCTCTCTATTACGGTATGTGCTTAATAGGAATGGCATTTACGAACTGGTTGAATCTGCACAAGGCGGCCCTCCTTTTCAGCGGCAGGCCAGTTGCTAGTAAACGGCACCTGATGGACAGCGGGCATACAAATCCGGCAGCGGAGAAGCTGCGCATAGATTAAGGGTGCCAAGGACACGTTGGAATTCTCCAACGGACGTTTAAATGGACCCGTGAACCTCTATACGCTTGCATGCTGATGAAACCGTGCGTTATGGGCGAATTTGGATACGCCTTGCATTAAGTGTCGGCTTTGCCTGTAGGCGCATCTTTGCGTGATCGGCTTCGGAGTGTGTTTTTTGAGCTTCCATGTGAACTGTGATTGTATATGCTGTAATGGGCAGGTGGTGCGAGCGTGCATTGTGCTCGAAGTTGTTGTGAGCGATCACATAATTTTTGATATGCAAAACAGTTATAATTTGTACAAATGCGAGCGCTATTAAGAGAGCGGGATGTGGCATTCGGCAACTGAGGACTTGGAGAAGTCATTTCTCGTCTGACCCCAGGCAACTTGCCTACGCCGGGGGTATGCAGGGTAACCTGGGAAGCGGCTTTTAGATTGCAGAAGGTCACTGATTATTTGGCTGTTACACCTTCTCAATATGCAACAAGCCCCTGGCGTTATGTCGCCGAGTTTGAGCACCGTGCGAATTGTTGGTGTACATCTTCCCCTTAACCTATTTATTGGCTCTCGTGAGTGTTCCTGTTCTGGCGTGCTTAATCCAATACCGCATGGTATGGCGCAACGTGGAACATACTATGTAGGACACTCGGCTATTACGCCCTGTATGTACATGCAGCTGCGTGCCACCCTCAACTAATGCGAATGGTGGGTAATTCTTATGGCTTATGTAATGGACATTTTACAGCACGCACGCACATAACCCGCACCCGACACACTTGCATCTACATCTAGAGAAGCTAGTGGTGCCTGTTCCGGTACAAGACCACACAATAAATTTCACCACGCAAAACATTGCTAGGTAGTAAGTTGGCGCTGATAGCCACCCATTTTACCATGACAAGACGATGAATTTAGACAACGTAACTGCGCTGCAACAGGACGCAATCAGCCGGTTACATAACAGTATTACCCCTTGATGGGACGGCTGTACCGCAGGATGCCAATATCGGCATTGCGCCCTTGAGCACCGCCTCCCTTTTTGCCTGCCGTCGGTTTATTAGTGCTACGACTGGCACTACCTCCGCGCGCCTTGCCACGTCGGCCACGAAGCGCATTACGCCGTAGGTTGCCTAGGCGCACTTGTCCCGCCCGTTGTGCTTGGAGCTCTCCTCCCCGCTGAACCTGCGAAACGGGGTGAAGCCTTAGCAAATTCGTCGAGGATAGCCGCTGCAACTCCAACTAAAGCTCCTGTCGATGTGCCGCAAGGCGGCCTGATCCCATTCTAGGCCGTCCCCACCCACTCACAAACCCTCCTCGCCTGTTTCAGGAAAATCTCCAGCGTCTGCGCCTCTGCAGCTTCCGCCCCACGTCCTCGATCCGGAATAACGTCATCCAGATCCTTGCTGTCGCCGCAACCTCCAATAGGTTCAGTCCACCAGGCATCATCAGGCTCCGCGTCACCATCCACATCCCCATTGTACGAGTCAAAATCGCCCTCGGCACCACCAGTTTGGCCCAGGGCTTTCATTCCTGCAATGTCAACTTCGCTCTGCATAGTGTCTAGCAGCACGTCCGGCCGAGCCGTCGCTTCCCATTCATGAACATGAGCGTCAGGAAAGCTTCCACCCGCTTCCTTGTATTTAGGCTGTCTCTGGCCATGGTCGCAGCTCTCATATCCATTCCCGGGGCAGGAGATGCCGCATATCTTCGCAGGCGTTGAACCCTCCACCACGAGCGGCTGCCGGTGTACCTCGCCATCAGGTGTATCCCCAGTCATGCAAGCCCTCCCAGACTGAAGAAAAAAGGAAGGTGACAGTGCACACTGGGTTCGCGACGCGTAGAAACGGGAGCCCGTTATGACGGTGACCCTTGGGGCATCACATCGGCTTCGCTCTCGGTCGCTATAGGTCCCTGGCTGCTGACTCCTCCCCTGCTGCTCAGCACCACACGCCGTAAAGCTGAGACTTGCCGTAAAGTCTGGGCTATCAGCCGCAGCAGCAGGAGGGAACGAAGAGTCCGCCGACGGACCTGCTACATCTGCACCCCTCCTACTGACTGCAATTAGCCAAGGCTTAGTTGCTCCAGGAGGGGCATTGACCGCGGAATCCCCATCCTGCCGCGGAGGGCCCTGTGACCGTAACCCGAACGTTGAGTCCCCACGCACGCCCGTGGCGCTACTGCCACGCCGCCGCAATGGTTGCAATTCTGCTCTAGGAACAACAGGCTGCTCTAGCCCTCCCGTAGACTGCTCATCGTCAACCTTAATTCCCATTGGTGGAGTCGGTGCCTTGGATACGTCCCCCCGCAGGCTCGTCGTTGGTCGTGTGGAGATAGGGGCGAATTCTTTGCGAGGTGGACATGGTCGGACCTGGGCCATAGTCTCTAACGCATGCCGGTGAACAGCCGTCGCGGGTCGCTTAGGCCTCTGAATTGCACCCTCGCGGTCTTCCTCCGAATCGCTAGAGCTGCTGTAGTAACCCTTGCCAGTGGAGGATGGGGATGGCACACTGTCATCGGAGCTTTGTGAGCAGGTGGATCCCGAGAGTTCGCTATCTGTACTGCAGCCCGCTTGCAGACGTTCCGAAGGTGTACCCGCCCGCCGTGCACGGGTCTGTGCCCCGCCACCGCCATCAGAATATGCTGCGACTGAGCCCCGGGGCCAATCGTCGCGGCACATTTTCCCAGTCTCAGCGGGGAGGGGAGCGTAAGCGACCTGCCGGGCCGTCGCAGCGAACACGGGCCTCCGCGCCCACATGTTTCCAGGCTGTGGCCCCTGCAAACCATACAAAGACAAAAGCCAACGAGGGGCGCCAAGGTTGGAGGCGTCAAACAGGCAAGGATTGCAGCATAGCTGCCTGCCTAATCTACGCCGAAACATTCGCCCTCGTTTTTCAGAAGTTACATGAGTTTCGCGTGCGTCAACCAAGAGTTGTTAAATGAGCTATACCCCCACCTGGAATGCAGCGATGTTTGGATCTGACGCCGGCTGCTGCATCCCTCCATCCTCTCCATCATCCAGGTCTTGCAAGGCGGAGTGCGCAGAGTACCCTAGCCCAGCACATTTGCCGGAGGATGTCCCCGACCCGGCCACGACAGGGTCGGCAGGACGTCTTTGTAGTCCCGTCACTCTGCGCCTCTGCAGCAGCATTCCTACTAAATCATCCTCGAAGCCATTGGGTTGCTGCTGTCCGCATGGATCCACACGCTCCACCACAACACGTCGCCGCTTGCCCGCCGACACTCCTGCTCCAGATGACGCGGCCGCCTTGTGCGCACTGCCTGCGCTTTTCGGCACGCAAGGCCCAGATGTCACGGCGGGTTCGGCCACACCTTTGCCAGGGCGATCATGTTCTGCCTGCGCCCCACTTGCTCCGGGCTCGTTACGTTCTGCACTGTGCCCGTCATAGCCGCCTTGGCGCACAGCATTCTCAGGTCCAGGATCAGCTGTACTTGCAGCAGCAGCAGTAGCAGCTGATTTTCCAGCCTGTGCTACAGATCCGCCTGCCGCATTATGCCGGCTCCAGGTGGACGCCACGGGCCCTCGAGAAGAACCCCATACGCCTCCCTAATAATTAGAGACACCATTTGTCGTGCATTTCGGCATGATAGCGATACAGGCTCAGCATTGTCGGGACAGGGTCAGATCATTTTCGTACGGCAAGATACGGCAGGACAACCTTACCTGACGGGCTACATGTGCAGGCCGCGCTGCTCCGAAAGCCGATGGAGCTGCCGCACCAACTCCACCTTCCGTGGGCACATGTGGGGCTGCATAAAACTGCCCCCAAACGTCCTTATGGAAGGTGGATGTTTGATACGCCGGTTGTAGTTGCTGCTTAACAGTCGTGTAAGCTCTTTGCAGGCTCTGGAAAACCTCCGAGGCATGCTTACCAGGGAGAACAGACTTGTCGGGATGGAAAAGAAGGCACAGGCGCCTGTACGCACTCTTCACTTCAGCCAGACTGCTATCTGTGGAAATTCCGAGAGCTGCAAATGGACAGTGACTACTAAGTATATTGGCCGCAAGTTCATCAATGGAGGCGCCTGGGTGGCCGAGCATCATCGCCAGCTGTTTCGCAAGAGATACAAAACTGTTTGATCCATAAAACGAGATAACTTGTCCTACGGCACAGATTGTTGTTTGCATCATGCATCAGTATGTTCACCGATGATAGATGTCCAAGTCGAGCAAAGTTCGTTGCACTTTGTACGGTTGCGCGGGAAGTTTTTTACTGCGGGCTCGAGGAGGCAAGGCTAAACGGAGTTTCTGTCTCATCCTTCGCTTGCATATCTCCCCCAAAGCTCTTTTCCTAGCACGTTTGGAATATTTACATCATGATTGTACCAGTTACGTGCCCAAGTGGCAAGGTCATTGAATGGGTTCTGGTTGAGCTTCAAGGAAAAATAGAAAATCTTACTGAGGACCAAACATCAGAGATAGGCGTGCTGCTCTCAAAAGATCCGGTAAGGCGTTCTGGAAGAACTAAAACACAGCATCACTTCAGGCAACCTTCCCCATTTCCTTTACACACCACCCACGGAACACTCATTAGTGCGCAATTGGGGAGTATCCTACATGCAAACCATGTAAAGATTCGTTTAAGCGTACGCGTGTCCACTGACAGTTACATGCTGAGACACCTGGGGATACCATGTATACATGGGTATGCTTAGGATAGGAACACGAACGAAATCACGTGACATTCCACACAGGAATTTGCAATGTAATACGTGGCCCTTTACGGTGCATGTTCCTGTGTGCGTGGTACACAGTAAGACCCCTGACCCACTTCGCAACTCTCTGTACTGCTGCCGCCGCCGCTACTGCCGCCAAGCTTGTACTTTTTAAGGTATCGAATTATGGTTTGGCGAGTGACTGATGATAAGCTATTACCGTAACCATGTGCAATTCTCTGGCGTGCTTTTCCATGGCATGGACTTGCAGGATGGCAAGGCTCTGCAGTTGACTATCGGGTATCACCAGCTGGAGGGCAAGCGAATCCCGCTCAAGAAGCCCCTTGCAATCCTTAGCAAGTGCGGCGGCACAACCGTCGCTGGGAGCAGCAGCACTTCCTACGAGGTACCGATTTCAGCACTCAGTTAATCACCCGCGACCTTCGTAATAGCCATAGCATGACTTTCGCCTTCCCGCTCGGCCTCGCTGCTTGCTCAGGTGTTGGGCGTCATCCGAATTCAATACCTGTTTAAGACGCGGCCGCGGGCGTTGATTTCCAAGCCAGCTGGGCGATGACCTGTCCACCAGTTTACATTAACAAAGGAGATGGGTGTCAGTCGTTTAAATAGCACAGTAAACGCACAGCGTGTCGAGACGCGCTTGGTATAAGGGGTAGTAGCGGGTTTCCAGGCCGCTCAGGGAAACAGTGTAGCGCGGGAGACTACTTGTTTGATACCACACAAATTACGTCAGATGCAGCGTGTGCTTATAATGATTTGGTCGGCACAGGAGGGGGCAGCCAGGGTGCCGGAAAGCGGCACACGGGCTGTGTGCTTGCGGGCCTGGATGGGTATACGTGCCAAGTTTTGGTAAGCGGACCAACGGCCTCAGGCAAAGCGAATATCAGGAAACTGCGTTGGTAGGAGCATTGTTTGCGAGGTTGTCGTACAATTTCTCACGTAATGCTAAGTGATGTTTCCAGATAACGTGCGCGTGGCCAGCCGCATGGACTGGTTTTGGCTTTGTATTCGCGGGATCACGCTTTCCGCCCTTTCCCCAGAAAGGTATTTCTGCAATTGTAGGCCCGAAGAGCTTTTTATGGTGTGTCCAGCAAAGCGAATTTCAGATTGCCCGTCCTTTTGTGGTACATCCTAAGTAATAGCGTGTAACAGTTGCTAACCGTGCGTTACTATGTGTCAGAAGGGCCTTATTAGGGGCTCACGCATGTTGGCTGTTGCTTTGTCAGCATAGTGTGACAGGAGCCCAGGTGTAACCATGCAGCTCAGCTGCAATTACAACGGTAAGCGACGTCTACATGGTGCGGCCTGGCGCCAGGAATCCTTGCCGTACGCATTACCGCAGATGGTCCTAACGGTAGTGAAGACCACCGCCCCCACAATATGCCATAAAAGGATGAATGACCGGATAATGAATAAATCTACAAGGTAAAAGGGGCTATAACAAGTCCCAAGTCCCTATTCATCCCTACCCAGACCACCGCCCTCTGGACGGCCTCTATGGCTCTTCGAGGGAGACTTCGCAGGGCACGCTCTGCCTGCACCTGGGACTGCTCTGTCGCACCTCCCCATCCGCTAAAGCTCGCCACACGCTCATTCCAGAGCCCTCCTGACATCCCAGACCTCCAACCCGTCCACCAGTGTTTTTTTTTTAAGTAATATATTACTTTTAAGGAATAAAGAGGCCTTTTTGGCCTTTGGAAATAAGGAACAAAGTGAGGCCGATCCGTACATTTTCATTCCTTCAGCCAAAAACGTCCATTGCTGCCAGATTGCTCCGTAGTGTGCAGAACTTAGTATTATCGATCATAAAATAGATATGAGGGGCCGTAAGAAGGTCAAGCCCGTGAGTCAACGCGGCATAGCAGAATGTATGACCGGTCCTTCCATAGACAAACACGCAAAAGGCAACGACTTGAACGCCGAACAAACACAAAAACAGCAAGATAAGTCTGAAATTTTTCCTGATAAAGGCGTTTGGGACGGCGGTGCTGTTGTAACTTATCGGGGGGGGGTCTGGGGGGGGGGTAGCC